ACTGTTATTTGTTCTGAGCTATATACAAAAACCCAGCAGACAGTCACCATCTGTCATTTGCACTGTACAATGTAAGATATAGTGCACCAATCCTCGGAAAACCCGCTATTACTGTAACCAGACCGTGAGTCACAGAGGTTGAATGCGCAACATTTCTCTCCAGTGTCAGTTTTGATGGTTGTCAAGAATTCATTCACTGTGGTGAGTGCTGACGTGCGAAAATTGGATTATAAACTGCAAATTGCCCGCAAGAGGAAACAGAAGAGGCAGGCAGTCTCTTCTTTGTTAAAAGACGATTATCTTCTCGAGCCATGCAACCGTAATAGGGTTACCACCTCTCAGATTTATGACTGGAGTTTCCGGAAACTAAATTCCATCGTCTAAATCCTGTCCGATTTTATTATAACCGGAAAATCTCCCTCATTTTTCACACAACTTAAGTCTCATTAGCAAAGTACATTATCTAAACACTTCAGATTTCATACGTTTACATATTACATTATACCTTATTGAGTTTCGTTAAAAATAATTTCACCTTTATTATATTAATGCTCCATCGTCTGAAACCTTCAGACTTGATCTACAAAAAAATATATAATAAATTAATGAGCTACAATTCAAAATTTATCATTTGCGCCGTAACATGGTCCCAAACCAATGGCTCTCGAAATTCTTTTACTGACACAACTGTGGCGTCAATTGCCACCCCACACGTGGTAGCTTTGACCCACTTTGAGTGCTTGTCGTGAAATATCCAAATAAAAGTATCAGAGAAGACGAGGTTCCAATAATTTTTACCTCCTCTCTTTCGTCTTTACATTAACATGATATTTTGAACTTATTAAGGAGCAAGGCTTTACATTGTTCATAAATCACCTAAAACTCATGATTAGATTAATTTTGAGTTTGTACTAGTTGTGGAATAATATTATAATACGCTTAAATATACCCAAGAGGCACCTATAAAATTCTGGATCGCTTTCAGTGGCAATGAACACATTGGTTTATGTACATTTTCAAACTCTGAATTTGTTATTAATGCCAAGAATAATATTTATGAACGTTTGCTACCTGTTGAGAAAGAAATTCTGTTGTGTTTATTTATAATTCTCTATCGACTGAAGCATGTATGCAGGCCAATCGCATATTTCACAGTAAAGAAACTAACTTGGCACAGAAAGTTGCGGGTAAGTGGATTTCTGTTGGGTTGCAGACACCCGGAACTCTTTGAACTGATATTTTAATAAACTTGATGAAGCATGTTTGTGTTATACTAAGTTTTGGATTGAAGTACTTTTAAGATTTTTAGGTTATATATATCCTATCAAAATTTAGTATAACATGCCAGAAAGTGATCTAATAGTCATTAACGGTATCTACAAAATACGTCAGTGACCCGTGCCAGATTGTAATAAATTGTTCAGTCTTCTTCTGTGAAGTCCCACACCTCGTTTATCAATGGGTTTGTGTTCTAAAACCATCTGGGCTATCCTACTTGGTGCCAATTGCAGCAGATGTTCGTGACATTTATTCTTGTATTATTTCCTTTTCATTTAAACTTGTTCAAATAATTACGTATCGCATTGCTATGTACAGAACGTTCTTAAAAACACAACTCTAACTACTAGATACGCACAGAACGACGAAAGCAATGGCAATATTGAATTCTTGCAGACTTATGACGTTGTTGCACCTAACGCACTGCTTGAAATCGGTAAGGTCTTTTTTTTTCCAGATACTTTGTCGCTCGATTAACATTTGTCACAGACAAACGCTTCTTGCGTTCCGAAATTTTGTTACCACTTCCTGTATTGTCTCTATTCGATGACGCTTTGTTAAGACACGCTTTACTAAATGATAGACGATTTCGATGATCAATAATATTCATGAATAAACACGCGTTCTACTCGTGAGTACACCACGTTATCATCTGCGCAGCCTTTGCGCAGATGGTGTGAGCAGCGGCCTAACAACAATCTCGGAGGAGGTTAGGAGAGCCTGTTTATTACACAGGTTGGACCTACTTCTAATTCTATTTGTTGTTGGTTTGCGTTTTAATTGGTACACGTCCCAACATCCATCGCAGAAATTGTATTGCTGTTGGTTCAGTTATCTTTACGTATTTTCTGTTGAGGGCTCAGATTTCATATCCATACCATAACGACGAATACATTTGATAATATTATAATTATAGCCTGCAACTTGTAGTGCCTTACAAGCTAAACAGAATGTGTTCGTGCTTTCATTGGACCAACATTTTTTTTTCTATTCACTTGGAACAGCAGCTTTATCGAGTCTGATTCCCGTATAGATCTGCTACCCTTAGTGGATTTCCATGTAAACCCCTTTCACATAGATGCTTGTTTCCTGTTTCACTCCTAAAGGTATCGTATGTTTCCGTGTCCATCAAGATTAAGGCCAACGTTCTGAACGAGTTCTTTACATTCATTGTTAAGTCAAACCCACGAAAGAAAAAGTGTTTCTCAGCCTTTCCAACGAGTCAACATACTAAATACAGGGCTATTCAAAAAGATTGTTGGGGTTTTAAAAAATCACTACACGTAGTACAATTGAGGTAGGAATACGAATCTTGTTTTATTGTGTAGCAAAACTCTCAAAGTTTTTTTACATGAATTATAAATGCTCAATATGTGCGCCTTCTGTCAATCTGCAGACATCTACACGATAGTCCATTTCTTCCCACACACGCCCCAGCGTGTCAGCGGTGATGTTCAGAATGGCGGCTCTGATACGTACCTTCAGATCCGGGATAGTCGCAGGTAGAGGGAGGACAAATCTTGATCCTTCCCAAATTTCGTGTGGAAGTGCCGTTGAACAATGGTAACGGACCGACTTTGATTATATTCGAGAGTACAAAAAGCCTTCTTCTTACCGTTAGACGCCATATTGCAAAATCTGGCACCTGGCGGCCAATCGCGTAACTACTGGATGGCGGGCGGTACAGAACAAAACTTTGAGAGTTTCTCTATCCACCAGTGTAATGATAATAGTCGTATGTTTAATGCATTGCCCCATAAAAATTCACAAAACCCCGACAATCTTTTTGAATAGCCCTGTATAGTGTATAGTGTAATATCTCAGGGCACACAAGCTTACGAATTTGTCGTCGGCGACACGTAATTGACAGGTACGCATAGAATTAAAATTACTGACATGTCTATTATTATTTCCCAATATAGACGTGACGGAGACCTCCATGATACAAGTCCAACAATTATAGTGACGCAGGATCAGTATTGAGGCCCACTGATCAATAATCCCTTTTAATATGTTGTAAACGTTATTTGATCAAAGAGTACAAAATGAATTCGTCGCTGGCAAGTCCTCTCTGTTTATTTTTATATTTAATCTACGAACTATTGAACTGATTTCAGTTTGAGGGTGTGAATTGACAATTGTCCGAATTTCATTTGAACCAATCGATTGTAATTCCGATTTCATATCAAACTCAAATCGAACTTGACCGATTTCCTCATAACGCCTCGTAATGTCAAAAACTGATAGAGATTTGAAATAATTTTTTGATAGGGTGGAGATTTAACGAAACAGATGCAGTAATAATAGTTTATTGTGTGCATTGTAATGTTCATAGTACGATTACATTAGCAACAATAGACTTCTATCAGCAATATATTAACGTCAGAGTCAACTGACTGACTAAATTTTATACTTATTTTCACCTACAGCCTATTTTATATGTTCTACACACGTATTTGTAAAATATTTAAAAATATACTAATGAGAAGCTTCTGAAGGTACGATATCATTTCCGGATGAGAAGATAATATTAAATTGGATCTTAAAAAAGGAGAGTTATGAGAATGTGTAGTGGATTCAGCTGGCTCTGGCGAGTTCTTATGAGCAAGATAACAAACCTTCCGACATCTATAAAGAACGGGAAATTTCTTAAATAATTGAATATTAAGGTTCATGAATAATGAATTGGAAAAGATATGGAAGGAAGCGGTCATATGATATCTTGAGGTACTATTCTGGCATTTGTCTAGAGAGACTGGTGAAAATCACAAAAGGACTCAGACAGGGTAGCCGAACTCCGGGCCGAGATTTAGTCCGGCCGCGACTTTCGGCTCAAAGACTGCTATTCTGAGGGTTTTTGCGTTTTTCCTCAGTCCTTCAGGCAACTGCCGAGATATTATCTCAAAAGAGACCACGATCTCTTCCTTCCACATCCATCGCACGCCTTAACTTATAATCCTCCTCTCATTCGACACTGTCTAGTCTAAGCAGTTGAAATACATTTTTAAACAACAGACCAGTCAGTCAGGCCAGTGGTATTCAACCTCGTGGGTAAGCGAAGACATCTTAGGGTTACGTGAAATTTAAAATAATATTATTTTATGATAAACACTGAATAATCAGTAATGTAATTATTTAATTTATTTTAAATGTAGATTATATACTATGTGTATAACTTGAATTATACACCAACAACTTTGGGGGTACAAAGTTGAAGAGAAATTATATCTGGGGGTACGCGAACAAAAAAGGTTGATTACCACTGAGTCAGGCTACAGAACACTTGAGTCGAATTTCGCGGTCTAGTAGGTAATAGTTTTAGTCGTATTTCCAAGGCTCCAGGTTGAAACCTCGCCCTGGAGACAGACTGACTTGGCAGTTCTGTTGTAGCCTTCCCCAGGTACGTGTCGGCATGGTACTTTACGATAAGCCACTGCGACTTCTTTCAATATTCTTTCCCGTTCATTGATCTTCCTATCATTCGACGGTATATAGTCTGATCTAACAACAGTGTCGTTAAGTTCGTCACAATTAAATTAAAATCTTTTTTGCTATCTGCCTGTTGTAAAATTGTAATCAGAACTTAACTTAACAATTCAATGAGCGTAACTTCGATTCTCTAGATCTACCTCTGTGCTGAACACAAATAACACATTATTCAGCAACAGTATTATGTAGTTATAGCCGCCTACCACAGCTGCTATCTTATAACTATTGCTTACCACATATTTGACGAAACGGTAACTGTCGACAGGTCTCACGAAAACGCCCGATAGTGGCGCTTGGCTTCTAGTTCGTCAACCAGGCAATGTGCAACTGTTGGTGGTGGCTCAGGGAACCTGCCAACTGACTGCCATTTACACTGGTCTTGCGCATTTCATTCTTCTCTCATTCACGCATCGGCAAAACACTGGATTTTTCGAGGACCGATATCTGGTCTGTCGCACATCGTACCGTACAAATAATTGTGCACAGATATGTTATTATCACTAGCACATCTTTAGCTATCACGGATTAAATCCTCTGGCCTGTTTTGATATAGAAGTTTTAAAGTATAAATGCATTACGTAGCACTCCTTGGACTATATTACCGCCCACACGGAACATTCGGGAAAATGTAAAATATGTACAATGAAAATTTAGGTTTTCTTAGCCCACATATCCGTTTCCAATGATCTGAGGTCTGCCTCTACGTTTATGAAGGATTCCGACAACGAATGCGATACTATCAGGTTTTCTTTCTCGACATAGACGCATCGAATGTCGCAGAAATTTTGCATCTAATTGTGACGTAAAATTTGTTAAAAATTAATTACAGTTTTTATAACAAAATTTTATTACCGGCTTACAAGTTCACGTGTTGATCTAGTCGAATACTATAGATTTTTTTTTAGATTTTTCGAAATGTTTCTAAAACG